GTCCCACGGGCGGGGCGGCCTTGCCCGAGCCCGGAGCACCGAGGTCTGTGCGCCCTGGGTCCGCACAGCGTTTCTCTGCTGTGCTTGGCCCCAGGGTGGAGACAGGAGTCGCTCCCTGACCCTGCCTCTGCCCGCCCCAAATTGGGGTCCAGTGCGATCCTGGAGTCCAGCCTCAGGAGGAGCAGGGCCAAAGGATCAGCACTTCCCATTGTCCATTCCTTTCCAGAAGTGCTGTCCCCAGGGGCGCTGGCCTGCCCTGAGGCAAAGGATCTGCATCCTGGGAGGTGGACTTTTCATCGGGAGCCTCCCTTATGCTGGGCTTCTGTCTCCAAAGCGCTGGGTCAGAATGTGTAGGTGTGTGCAGGAGAGAAGCCACCTAGCAGTTGGGGGAGGAGGTGGGACATGAAAGCCAGGTTCCACAGAGGAAGTGCTTTCCAACAAGCTGCAGAAGTGTAACAGAGCTGTGTCCATGGGCCTGCCCTGGCAGGAAGCCCATGACAGTCTGGGAAACCCCTCACAGCAGTAGCCTGAGGTCCGGGGTGACCTCTGCTTCATCCAGCTGGTGGTCCCAGGTGTGCCTGGTGCTGCCTACTGTCCTTGGGAGAGAGGGACACCCACCTTCCTGGCTTGGTGTGCTGGGGGTCCTCAGAGAAGCCCTGCAAGACACCTCAGTGGACCTGCCGTCATCCCTCTGCTTCGGGCCTGTGACTGCCTGCTTTCTGCTCTGTCCTGAGTCTCAGTGTCGGAATTGCCCTTTCTGTCAGATGTCAGAATTAACATGCTAGAATAGGGGATGAGAAATGGCCCAGCCCTTCTGAGGATAGTTTGGCAGGGTCCTTCAAAAGAAAGTATGGAGCTAGGCATAAGGGTGCACAACTGGGCTCCCAGCATTATGAGGCAGGAGGATTGCAAGTTCACATCCAGCCTGGGCAACTTAGTGACTTAGAGAGACCCAGTCTTAAAAAATGGCCTACGATGTAGGTCAGTGCAAAGGCCCAGGGCTCAACCCCCAGCACCACAAAAACAAAACAAAACCCAAACATGCAATAGCCACATGACCCAGCTGTTACAGATCCATGGCATTTCCCAGAGTGCACCTGGGCCATTTTCACATAAACACCTGCAAACTATTGCTCAAAGCTGATGTGTTTGCAATGTCCCCAAATCAGAAACAACCTAGATGTTCTTCACAGGGGAATGGTTAGGTGAGTTGGAGTGTCCTTGCTGTGGGACACAACTCAGCAAGAAGGAAGCGACTCTTGATGCACAAAACACGGGAGAATCTCTAACGGGGTGAAAAGCCAATCTCAATGGTTTATATACTTTATGATTCCACTTATATAATGTACACAGGACCCCAGGTAGTGGCCGCATTGACCTTTACACCTCAGCTTTAATGATCCCGCCTTACTGCCTCTCCAGGCACAGGCTCACCCAAATCCAAGCAGAGAACGCAGACTGCATCCCGAATGACCGAAAGGTCTCGTTGCAAGATGAGAGGTGGGATGGGTGTAGCTATGCAGTCCTACTTGGAAAAATCCTACGTGCGATGGCAGTCTTAGGGGGTGACAGAATCAGAGAGGGAGGATGAGAGAGAACAAAGAATAGCCAAAGAATATTGCACCTAAAATGAGCCTGTGGACCAAAACTAAGACAGGCATGGAAATCTAATGTGAAGAAGGATCAACAGTTGATAAAACAAATCTCATAGCACAATATGACAAAAACTTCATGGCTTCAAATAAGGATGCTCAGCCCCGATCAGAGATGTGACTTGTTCAGTGGTCATCTTCTCACTTACTTGTGTGGGCTCTTTTGAGGACCAGAAGGGCTTGATTCTGATGAAGTCCAGTTTGTCTCTTTTTCCTTTGGTTGCCTCTGCTTTCAGGAGCACATTCAAGAAGCATTCGCCAAATCCAAGGTCGTGACGATTTTCCCCAGTGTCTTCTTCCAAGAGTTTTTCTGCTCACTGTGCAGTATAAACGTACATGCACCTCCTCACTGCAGGCTCAGGGAAATCGCCTGGCACCAAAGCACAAATTCTGCACAGTTCTTCTTACTTGGGGTCCCTGCATGGGCACATTCATAGAGACAGAGATCAGAAGGGAAGTTACTGGGACTGGGGGAGAGAGGAAAGAGGCATGATTGTTTCAGAGGTATGGAGTTCATGTTGGGGATGATTAGAATTTGGGGATACAGATGATACAGGTAGGAGTTGAGGACCATGCCAACACTGCACTCACAGTTAGGATGAAAAACATTATGCTGTGTATATTCACCACAATAAAAAACACTAAAAAAACAAGAAGGCTGAGAGTGTTTAAAGAGGTAAATTAAAGCACAATATCCATTTAAAACACAAGCAGGATGAAACAAGCTTAGTGGACCTCAGAAACTATTGAGAGAAGGGTACCATGGCCTCTAGAGCAAGAGACCAGGGTGGACTGCTGGGTCACAGCTTCTCCTGAGCCCACTGGAGATGAGGCTGGGGGAGAGAAGCCAAGCTCAGGGGAGGTGCTGGGAGTGTAAGGTGGGCTCTAAACTCCTATAAGCAAGTCCAGCTGGGTTTGTGGCTAATGGCTGTCCCGTGGCCCCATGATTTTCAGGAGGAAGGGTGCCTGTGAGGATCAAGTTTGTGGAGGAGGAGGAGGAAGAGGAGTAGTGGAGCAAGTTTTAAAGTGGTAGACAAGGCACAGGCACAGAGACAAATCTCCCAGCAAGCACCTTACCCCAGCGCAAGGCCAGGTTGGGGGAATCCAGCCTGCAGCATGTGGATCATCACCCTGCCACAAATGTTCCCTGATAGAATGACCTGCCACAGGGTTGGGCATGAGCATCAATCAGTTCCCTGCTGCTGCATCCTAAACGGGAAGTCCAAAGTCCAGCCTGGAACTCACAAGGCATGTGGGTTAACAGAAGCAGCGTGTTGTTAGGAGACAAAGTATTCAACAGAACCTGGCCAGTGTATGAGACAGCGCAGAGCCAGCTGGTGATAAAAATAGCCACAAAGGATGCATTAGGCTGGAGATGAGCTGCGTGGGGTCAGATGGGGACCCTCAGCAGAGCCACGCAACGTTCAGGTGATATAAATGGAAAACCCAGGAACAGTGACAAGCATGGTCCTAGAGCTTGTTAGGAACCCTACACAGAGGGGAAATGTTAGTGATCCTGAAAACAGGCCACGGGACTTCTCAAACAGAACATGGAACAGGCAACCCACGGTGGGGGACAGGGTTAAGAGATGGGGGAGCAGGGGCTAGTATCCAGGAGAGGAGCCAGGAGGACCAGGTTAGGCAACAGGCTAGAAACTCCCCAAACTGGTGAGAAGCATCAGACCACAGGGCAGAGCTCAGAGCACAAGTTGTATGAATACAGATCTATCCCTGAACCCCAATCCTTACATGGAAATTCATCAAAGCAGATCCTCGACCAAGTGTAAAACTAAAATAAAAATGGACCAAATATCTAAATATTAAAATAGAGACAATCTGCTAGCAGATAAAATAGGTAAAACTCCTGAAGACATAGGCACAGGCAAGGATTGTCTGAACAGAACTCCAGCTGTATGAGAAATAACATTAAGAATTAATAAATGGGATTATATGAAATTAAGCTTCTGCACAGCAAAGGGGACAAGCAACAAGAGTGAAGAGACAACTTACAGAATGGGAAAATTTTTCTTGCCAGCTGCAACTTGGACAGAGGACTAATACCTAGAAAATACAAAGAAGAAGAAGAGCAACAGCAACAAAAAAAGACATCCCCAATAAAAGACTCAATAAAAAAAAACAGGCAACTGAAATGAATTGACACTTCTCAGAAGAAGTACAAATGGCCAATAAATACATGAAAACACGTGTACCATCTCTGGCCATTAGGAAACTGCAAATGAAAACAACACTGAGGTTCCATGTTGCTCCTGAAAGAATGGCTCTCACGAAATCAAATAACGAACGCTGAAAAAGACCAGGGGGAAAAAGGAACCCTTCTACATTGTTGGTGGGAATGTAAACTAGTACAACTACGTAAATCAGTAGGGATAGTCCTCAAAAACTAATTAGCAATGTCATCTGACGCAGTGACTCTCCTTATAGGCATCTTCCTCAAAAAGTTAAAGGCGTCCTATGGCAGTAATACGTGCCTACCCATGTTTATAGTTAAATCTTGGAAGAGCCCTATGTGTCCATCAACAGATGAATGGATAAAGGAAGTGTAGTATACACAGTGGAGTACTACTCGGACAGAAAGAAGGATAAACTTGAGTCACTTGCAGGAAAATGGACACACCTTGAGACTATAATGTTAAGTGAAATAGATCAGACACACGAGCTTAAATAACATGTAGTTGCTCTTTTATGCGAAACCCAAAGTATAAATAAATTCAAGAGTAAAATGAAAGATAGATAATAAGGGACAGAGATCTTTTGCAAAAGGAAAGGGGAACAAGAGATGGAGGAATGAGGGAGGAAAAGGAGGGAAGCAGTAAAATGAATTGCCATGGGTTGTGTATGTAGTAATTCCCCATGATGAATGTAAGCATTATGTGCTGCAAACATGTACTAAAAAAGCTATAAAACTTCTAGAATGATCTTCAGTAAGGCAAAGATTTCTCTGATATGATGTCAAAAACATGATATACGAAAGAGCTGGGCATGGTGGCTCACGCCTGTAATCCCAGCACTCAGGAGGCTGAGGCAGGAGGATCACTGTGAGTTTGAGACCAGCCT